TTTTTTTTTGGAGGGGGGGGGGTACAAAAGCCAGATTGGAGTGGGTACAAGAATGGGCAAAGAAGAAAGGGCGACAGTGACTGCAGACAACTTGTCCAAACGTTTTGTTACAAAGGGGAACAAAGAAAGAAGATGGTAGCTGACAGGAAATGAGATCAAGGGAGAAGTATTTTTTGTTTTTCTGCTTTTGGGTCATGGTAATATAAAGTGAAAGACTGAGAACCATAACACCACTTGGTGTAAACGACTTCAGTTTCTACTTTGCAAATCTAAAAAGGGAGAGGGAATGCTTTCGATGCAAGGCCGAAGATTGTGCCGTCAATACAAGTATCTGTCACCAGGACCCCTTTAAAAACCTGTCAGAACAAATATTAGAACATCCTGGAGTGAACATTTGAGGCTGCTGCTGCCCAGATGTGCAGCTCACCGCACGTCTCCCTGCTGCAGGAGAGGGGCGGAGGCTGGAGCCGTGGGGCAATGGCCCAGTGCAGGCAGGAAAGACGGGGCGCGGGGCACCCCAGGGTCAGGACCGCAGGAAGCTCCCCCAGGGCCAGCGGGTGGGAAGGCAGAGCACACGAATGCACACGCGGTCGTGGACGTTGTCTTCTCATGAAAAAGCAGACAGATCACTACCCCCGTCTTCCTCACAAGATGAGAGAGGCCCAGGGAAACTGCACAACCAGTGCGTGGCAGAGCAGCGCTAAAATTCAGTTTCTGCCCACGAATCCAGTCGCACCTACAGAGAGCAGGAGCGTGGGCCCCTAGGTTGTCAGGCTGGACCCCCTGCAGGGACACAGTCAGCCTCTGGCGTTGGACTCAGAGTATCTTCTGAGTCAAACAAATGACGGGCCACTTATGTCACTGAATTACATCAGTGTCAAGGAAAACAAATGCGCAGGGCGTTTCACTGTGCGGCGAAGGCTGGGGCAGGGCTTCTCTAACTGGAAACATGAGCGATCTTGTGAAACGGCAAACTCCGACCTGTCCTTTCGAGGGGGAGGTCCTGAGACTGCACTTCTAACAAGCTCCCAGGGGGTGCTGCTGCTGCTGGCCCATGGGCCACACTTCAAAAAAGCAAGGAGCCGATAGGTGCGAATGACCCAAATGTCTGTCGACAGGAATGAATAAACACAGTGTGGTAAGACCATAAAGGCCACAAAAGGATGAAGCACTGACGCATGCTGCAACATGGGTGCTAAGGGATAGAGCCAGTCACCTAAGGCTATGTATTATATGATTCCCTTTATATAAAATGTCCAGAATAGGCAAATCGCTAAGACAGAAGGCAGATTAGTGGCTTGCAGGGACTATAGATAGGAAGGAGTAGGGAGCGACTGCTTAATGCATACAGGGTTTCTTTTTGGGGTGGTGAAAATGTTCCGGAGCTAGACAGAGGTGATAGCTGCACGACACTGTGAAAGTACTAAGCGTCGCCAATGATAAATTTCATGTTATGTGTATTTTACCACAATAAACAAAAAGATCTAGATCATCCTAGGGCTCCTTTAATTCTACTATTCGCAGTTCTCTGAATTGAAGGGTTAAGAAAGGACTAACAGCCCTCTGCTCCAGGAGGAGAGAAGCCGAGTACGTTTCCCCAGAGGGAGAATGCTCCACCCTGCAGGAGAAGGGGGTGACTTGGCACAGCCAATGCACCAAGAGGTGCTTAGAGCTATGGAGGAAAGAGTTTGTGAGTGTTCCCAGGTAAAATCAATCAATCAATCAATCAATCAATCAATCAATCAATCGCATCATTACACCTCTACAGAGTCCCCCTTTGTCACCCAGCCCTGAGATCAGCTTCATTGTGGGGAGATGGAGAAAGTCATTCACTTTTGTGAAGGACTTCACAGTCTAATAGATAAGACTCCCACAGGGACAGAAAATTATAAGGCAGGTCCTAGTAAGGCAATGTCCAGGCCCTGAGGTTGAAGATGCTCAGAGGTGATCAGGGATAGCTGGATGGTCAGGGAGGCTCCTTGAGAGCTGGTACAAAAGGAGGTCATTTATGTATGACAACTTAGCCTAAAGCAAGGCACAACATCCCTTTTTGAGCAAAGCAAAAATAAATATGAGACCCTCTAATATACTATGTAAAACTAGACCTAGAATCTACCTTTCATACTACATTTCTGGGAATACAGGCAAGCTACGGGCACCATTAGAAAATAACTTAATTGCTACTCACCATGTGGTGTAAATACTTATTTTCTGAGATCATTTGGTTGCAATAATGACACTTGATACTGCTTTCAGGAACTGAAATCCTTTTCCCTAATAAACACAGAAACAACACCACAAATCACTGCCCTTGACAACAGCTAGCCCAGCTGTCCCACAACTGCGTGCAGGGCCTGTAGTCACAAGTGTGAACCATCCCAGGCCTGCCTGCCTGTCCTGCACTGCAGTGTCCTCAGCCACACAAACAACCAGTGGCCGAGTCGCCCACACCATTTCCTCATGGCTTCAGAGGTTCACTCAGGGCAGTGCATGGCCTTGAGGAAGACACATCTCCTGGAGCGGGGCTGGTTTGTAAGATGACAAGGGAGATGTCACCACAGATGCCCATCCTGACCAGTCTGACCCTCTTTCAATTGCATCAACTTCTTAGCTCTGGGCTCAGACGGTTACTGTACCTATCTTTGTTGATTGTGCTGTGTTGTCTTGTTGAAGTTGTGTTGATGATGTTGTGTGGGTTGTGTTAAAGTCCAGCCACGCCGGAATGAAGGAAATGTACATGAGTGTCAAGCATTCCAGGTTTTCATTTGCCAGTTTTCACCTTGGAGAGATTGTTCATCAGGGATTTTAGGCTCACACCGCTATGTTATTAAAACAGCCGGTGAAGTCACCATTAGATCTGTCACATTGATGGCTGTGTCCTCTGCTAACACACCTCATAAAGGTGTGACGGGGTCCAGAGAACCTGAAACGGTACCAGGGGCCCACCACATGGGCCCAAAGGTCAGGGGCTACAGCTAATTCCCTTCTGTCCACTGCTGCTGGTGGGAAAGCTCCAGATTTGGTGTCGGGAAACTTGGGTGTTCAGCTTCATTTCTGCCTCTAGCACCCTTCTGCTTCACTCTGGGCACGGGCTGTCATCTGTAAGAGGAGGCAGGCGGATCTCTGCCAAGCCAGGATGGTGCCAGAGGACTTCCAGGGAAGCCTCCCATTGGGCAGTCTCTCCATTGCATCTGCATCCACCGGTGTAGCTCCCAGCCCACCGCCTGCCCCTTGGTGTCCCCGGGCCAGTCATTTGAAGAGCACAGCGGACACACGAGGAGGCCACCCTAAGTACATGGTCTAGAACTAGAATAGCCAGATGGGTTTGCAAAGACAATGCCTGCACATCTGTCATCCACGTGTCATCTGTCCTATTGAATGCCTACACTCCTTGCACCCCATCCAGGGGAGGCTCCCTTTCCTCCGATCTCCCTTTCGCTCCCCACCCACCCCGCTCACCTGTCCCGCGCGGGGCCTGCTTACTCTGGCAGGTGTCCCTGTGCTGGGGCAGCACTCGGAGCACGACCAGCTGCCCGCAGGCCAGGCAGAGCTCCGTGCGGTTGCCGCAGTGGTGCTCGTGGATCTCCAGCTTGCTCAGGCGCACGGCTGCCCCGCAGAACTTACACTCAACGGGGCGCTCCGGGCATTCCTTGGTCTGCGGGAAGGGGGGCAGGACAGCACGGTCACTGGCCTGCAGTGGCTGCAGCCCAGCTGGGGACATGAGCTTATTTCCCTAGGGGACTGAAGCCGATAGGAAAGCAGATGGGACGGGCCAGGGTGGGGACCCTCTTCAGGGAATTTGAGGTCTCCTGGCTCATGGGCCATGGTGAGGCCTTCTGACCAGCATCTGGGGGACAGGAGGCTGTGTCCCTCTGGTGAACTAGCTCTCCATTGTTGCCCAAGCCTACTTGGGTGAGCAGAGGGGTGAGGTGGAAGTCTTCACTGTGGGCCCCTCTTCCCCTCCCGCTCCTCCCAGGTTGGCTGCTTGGCTGTAAAGGGTGAATCACACTTGAGCCTCACCTCATGAAACTCCAGCAGGTGCTTCTGCATGCTCTGCTGGCACATCGCACACCCGACCTGAACAGAGAGAGAGAGACGCTGGTCCACCCAGCACCCGCAGCTTCCTCCTGGCTTCACATGCTGCAGGTGTGGCTCTGGGAGCTCTTAGGGGCCAGGGTCAGGTGTGGTACCTCCCTGGGGTACCATCCCCACATTCAAGAAGTATTTGGGGGACCCTTTGAGTTGAAAGGGATGCCTGAGCTTGAGCATCTCCAGAAAGACAGACCAGGGGCCCAGGAAGGACTCACGTGGAAGAGCAAGAAAGAAAAGCCAGCCTTGGACTGGCCTGGGCGTGACTGCCTTCTAGAGCTTTCCTCTCCTGCTTCCTCTCTTCACAAATCTCAAAAGCACACTCAGCCTTTCCTGAAACGCGACCCTCTCCTCGCCCAAACCCATAGGCCCGTAGGGAAAGGGCTGGGCCTGGGGAAACCAGGGGCAGACCAGTTGAGTGTGAGATCAGCAGAATTACTGTGTCTACTTTGCAGAGGGCCTGAGGCTCGTGGGACTCAGTGGCTTGCCCCCGGCAGCCAGGCCAGCTGCTGCAGCAAGGATCCGACCCTGCCTCGCCGCCTAGCACCCCACTCCGCCCCTCCTGGGGCCACACCTGTTGGTGCCCGTTCTCCTGGTGCTCGTCCACCTTCCCCTGCAGCACGGGCTCCCTGCAGTTGGGGCAGAGGGTCAGGAACAGCACGCAGTGCGCCTCATGGAGGGCCAGGTGGGCAGAGGCCTTTCTTCTTTTGCTGCAGAAGGGGGAAGAAAATCGGGCTTATTTCATGGTATAAAACATAGAGTCATATTTTATACCCAGGGCCTCAAGGGCACCTACCTGGGTGGCAGGTTTGTTCCCCACCCCAGGAGAGGTGTGTTTGGGAGGCAAGTAATTGACGTGTCTCTCTCACATAGATGTTTCTCTCTCTCTCTCTCTCCCCTCGCCTCCTGTCCACTCTCTCTAAAAATCAATGGAAAAAATATCCTCGGGGGAAGATTAACAAAAAAGAAATAAATAAAAATGTACCATAAATGCAGTGTATGTCAATTATACCTCGGTAAAGCTGTTTTTAAAAAATGAAATAACAAATATCACATTCTTTCAGAGATTTTGCCTTGTTTTCAAGTGTCCCTTGCCTGGCCCACAGCCAGTTGGGAGCCCAGCCCTGGCACCCCCATGCTTGCTGCAAAGACAATGCCAACTTTCATAATCTCCACGACTGGGAGAGTGAGAGGCCATCCGCCTGTCCCCTGCCTCCAGGCTCACCTGTGTAAACCCACAGAGAGACGCTGAGTCCTTTCTTGGAGACCCCAAAGAACACAAACTTCTGGGCCTCCCAGGTCCTGGGCAGGGTGTTTCTTAACATTTATTATCAGGAAATGCCTCCTTTCACGTCAATCAGCTCTTGCTGTGGTAGCTTGGGAGGAATGAGACTCAGTGCCTGTGTCCTAGAGGCCTAAATGACCACGAGTGGTGTGCTGCTGAGTCCCTGGCTTGTGGGAAGGACTCCCTCCCCTTGGTCTGCACAAGCCCTCGGCTCTGCACCGCCCAGACAGATGGCACCAAGGCTGCCTCACTCTCCTCTCCTCTATTCTCGCCCCTCTGCCTGGCCTGGCCCCTTTTCCCTCAGCTCCTCCTGGGAGCTGGTTCAGACACCCAAGAGCCGGGAGGGTCTGGCTGGAGCAAAGTTCTCTGCGAAGGTTCCTTCTGGTCCCTGCTACAGGCAGGCAGCTTTGCGAGTGAGGCCCTTCAATGGGCCAGGTGCCCCTCAGGTAGAGGCACTATCCTGCCCTCTGCTCAGTCTCCTTTCCCCTGCCCCACAGCTCCTTCTCAGGGTGAGGGGGGACTGGTGCCAGAGCGGTGTGCAGATCATATGATCAGAACCCCAAGTGAGGACTCTGAACAGCCCAGCAGGGACAATTAGCCTGGCTACTTGGCTTCAGGATGGTCTCAGAAAGTCTAGGCTATCTGGAGAGGGAGTGAAAGGAGACTGTGGCTGAGTGATGTGAGTTAACACTGACTACTTTTCATCAGCTCGTGAATCTCAGGCATCTGCTGAGTTTCAGCCTCCTTCCCTAGGAGCCACAGCACCCAGCCTGTGCCTTCCTGATTTTATACCTAGGCCCCTTTCTCCTCATTTCAGAAACAGACTGATCCTGCCTGCCCGTTCCCTAGGCAGCCTCGGGCGGCCGCTGGAGAAGCAGCTCCTTACCAGTTCCTGCACACCTGGAAGGATCCCTCCATGTTCTTGTCTCCAGAGTCTTCCGGTTGAGTTTCGTTTCTTGCAGAAACAAAACTGAAAGTGTTCCAGCAGCCCGGCCCACAGCTCCAGGGAAGGAGGAGGGGTTCAGAGTTCTCAGCCAAGGGCTCCCCAAAGTCCCTGTGGCTGGACACTCCCAGGAAGCCCCCCTGCAGCCGGCCAGTCCAGCCTGCCCCTGCTGCCTCCCCTACCTGGGCTCTCACCCCTGCCCTCACCCCTGTTGCTGCCACAGGCTGTTTCTACAACCCAGAGGGTGGGAGCCAGAGGCCAAGCCTCCCCTGGGCAGCAGCCCCGCCCCTCCCCAGGCCAGCTTCACTGCCTCCAGGCCTCTCCATCCCCTTTCTCAAACACTGACCTCCCTCTCCCTCCTGCTCCTATCCCTGGCCCTTCCTCTGCGGGCCAGAGATGGCTTGCCGTGTCGAACTTGAAGGCTGCTCCCTGAGAGCAGTTCCTGGTGGGTGATGACTTTGAAAAGAGTGTCCAGGAGGAGTTGGGGATGCAGGGTGATGAGTGCCAAGACTCAGCTCGGTGACTTAGGACAACAGCCTGTCTCCCTGAGTGTCCCTTTCCTTACTTGTAAATAATTATAGCAAATATGACTAAAACTCTAACAAGGTGAAAGGAAGTGACGAAGGTTCTATTTTATCCATCCCCGTCTTCAGATTAAGAAACCAAAGCATGGGGAATTCGGGACAGACTGATGGGAGGACGGCTGCTGGGGCTGGAAGTGAGTGACTACTTCACACACACTAGGGTGGCTATGATAAAGAAGGCAGATACTGGATCCAGGATGGTGGTGGATTGAGTGGAAGCTACACTGACACTCTCCGAGGACCAAACTGGAATTACGACTAAAATATAGAAAAACCATTCTGAATCATCTACTGCAACTGAAGACTAGCTGGAGAGCACCCTCATAACCAAGGAGGGACAGTGGAGACCGCATAGAGACTGGGAGGAAGTGCAGAGGTGTGAGAGGGCTGGCTGGGCTCCCAGAGGCAGCAGCTGAAGGTCCCGAGGGATATCTCAGCTGTGGGGGGTTCCCACTGAGGACTCTGGGGCCTAAACCCCAAGCTGGGCTCAGAGCATCAGAACTGAGAAAGGTGCCCACATAACATCTTGCTGTGAAAAGCAGCTGGGTTTCTGTCTGCCAGGGAGAGACAGCTGGAAATGCAGGCACCCTCTTAAAGGGCCAACACACAAAGTTTCATGTATAGCCACTCACCTTGGGCTCTGGTGGAGGGAAGGCAGAGTGGACTAGAGTGATGTGAGGAGAATCCAGAGGGGTTGGCTGGGGGAATAGATCTCAGAGGGCACCCATCTGGACCCTGGTGTTGAGTCATTCCCCCATACAGCAGAAGACATCTTTCTCAGGCAGACGTTTACCTTTCAAGCAGCTTTTGCCTGAGTGGGAAGCAATAGTCCCACCCTGCTGGAAAATCTCTAGTCCCACCCTGTGGAGTTTCTACAGCCTGAGGCTCCTTAAGAGACTGAATAACAGCCTCTGAGTGCTTTGAGTCTTTGCCTGACTTGCTTCTGGACCCAGGGCATAGAAAAGCTGACCTTGGTGCACATGTTGGCCCTGTTCAAACACACCCAGCCCCAGAAGAGGAAAACCAGAAGCTGTGGAGTGTGGAAAACTTCAAACAGGATACTCAAGGCCAGTCACAAACAGCATCTGATATTGGTCTACACCAGAGACCACCCAAAAGACAGGGAGTCCTAGCAGACTATCTAATACACAGAAACAAATTCAAACAGGCAGCCAAAATGGGGAGACCAAAAAACAAGCCTCAAATGAAAGAACAAAAGAATTCTCCAGAAGAAGAGCTAAATGAAATGGAGATAAGTAATCAGATATAGAGTTCAGAATACTGGTCATAAGGATGCTCAACAGCATGAAAAAAGATACAGAAACTATAAAGGAAATTAAGAATAACATAGTAGAAATAAAAAACATTGGAAGAAATGAACAGCAGATTAGGGGAAGCTGAGGGTCAGATCAGCAAATTAGAAGACAGGGTAGAAAAAAATCACTCAATCAGAGAACCAAAAAGAAAAAAACAATTAAAAAGCAGGAGGACAGTTTAAGGGAGCCATGGCACAACATGAATCATAACAATATTTGCGTCATAGGAGTGCTAGAAGAGGTTGAAAGTAAGCAAGGGTTAGAGAACCGTTTGTAGAAATAATGGCAGAAAATTTCCCTAACCTGGTCAAGGAAAAAGTCACTCAAGTTCAGGAGGCACAGAGAGTCCTAAGCAAGAAGAACCCAAAGAGGCCCACCCCCAGACACATCATAATTAAAATGCCAAGAATTCAAGACAAAGAGAGAATCTTAAAGGAAGCAAGAGAAAAGCAATCTGTTACCTACAAAGGAGCTCCCATAAGGCTGTCAACTGATTTCTCATCAGAAACTCTACAGGCCAGAAGAGAATGGCATGAAGTATTTAAGATGATGCAAAACAAGTATCTGAAACCAAGAATATTCTATCCAGCAAGGCTATCATTCTAAATAGATGGTGAAATAAAGAACTTTCCAGACAAAAAAAGCTAAAGGAATTTGTCATTACCAAACCAGTATTGCAAGAAATATTAAAGGGACTGCTGTAATAAGAAGTTGAAATAGAGAGAATGAGAAACATAGGCATAAAGAAATAAAATGGAAAAAGATAAGTACCTATAAATAATAACCTTAAATATAAATGGATTAAATGTCCCAATCAAAAGACATAGGGCAGCTGAATGTATAAGAAAACAAGACCCAAATATATGCTGGCTACAAGAGACCCACCTCAGAACAAAAGACTCACACAGTCTGAAAAAAACAAAAAACAAAAGCAAAAGCACCCAAACTTCTGCAGGATTTAAAGGAGAGATTGACAACAATACAGTCACAGTAGGGGACTTTAACACCCCACTGACTTTACTGGATAGATCTTCCAGTAAAAAGTCAATAAGGAAACAGTGGTTCTAAATGTCACACTAGATCAGATGGATTTAATTGACATTTACAGACCATTCCACTCCAAAGTTGCAGAATAGGCATTCTCCTCAAGTGCACACGGGACATTCTCAAAGATAGAGTACATGTTCGGACACAAAACAAGTCTCTACAAGTTCAAGAAGATTGAAATCATATCAAGCACCTTCTTGAACATTTACACCATGGAATACTATGCAGCTGTGAAAATGAAGAATCCCTCACCCTTTGAGACAGCATGGTGGGACCTGGAGAGTATATGCTAAGAGAAATAAGCCAATCAGAGAACAAGTGTCACATGATCTTACTCATATGTGGAATCTAATGAACAAAATAGATCCAGAGACATAGAAGCATGAAACAGACTGATGACTTTCAGAGGGAAGGCAGAGGTGGGTGGGTGGATGGGGAGAGATTAACAGAATTTATATGCATATATGCATAACCCATGGACACAGACAATAGTGTGGTGAAGGCCTGAGGGGAGGGGCACAGGGTGGAGGAGATCGATGGGAGGAAAAAAGGGACATTTGTGATACTTTCAACAATAAAGATAAGTTAAGAAGAAATAAACAAAAACAGAAACCAAAGCATGGCCCTGGAGGGGTTGCTCAGTTAGTTAGAGCATTGTCCCTGTGCGCGCCAAGGTTGCAGGTTTGATCCCAGGTCAGGGCACATACAAGAAGCAATCAATGAATGTGTAAATAACTGGAACAACAAATTGATGTTTCTCTCGCTCTTCCTCTCTCTCTCTAAAAAATAATCAATCAATAAAAAAGGAAAAAAGAAACTGAAGCCCTGAGGGGTGATGTAACTTACCCATTGCACAGCCAACAGACAGCAGAATCAGGCTTGAACCCAGGCAAAGCGGCCCTAGGCTTGTCTCTCTGGAAATGGTCAGGTAAAGAGATCTGAGTTTCAATCCTTATGTTATTAACTCGCAACTTGGGTCACCTTAGCCTTTGGGGATTTTGTTGCCTGATTTTTGGACTCAACTGGAGACCTGGAGGACTTTAGGAGACCAGGTGCTCCCAAAAATTGTGTGCAAAATTGCTTTCATGTGAGTGTGTGCCTGTTCCCGAGGAAGAGCTGCTGTTTTTAGCAGACACTCAAAAGGAGTCCACAACCCAAACAATTCTAAATGACTGGACTCTTTGATTCAAAGGTCTGAGAGTCAAAGAAACCAAGTTCTGTTCAAAGCAGTACATGTCCAAAATTCTATATGCATCATTCTACACGCATCTAGTGACTAGAGAACATTTGTTTTGTCCACTTGTGTTCTTTTCACAGGGCTCGACTAGTTAGAGAATGAAAATGATAAAACAGTATATCTAATTGCTCAGGGAGTTGAAAAATTTACAAATAATTGCAACTCCATTAGAAATATTCGGACATTAAATACTTTATGTTGAAATTTTTAGAGGGGGTTTAATGTATATTTCTGTTTCCTAGAATTTTATTCATAAAAAAATCAAGCCCATTTTTAATTAGCTTCAACATTCATTTTTATTGTTTATAAACACGATTAAGATATTGACTTGTAGTTAGAGAATTTTGATTGTGGTTTTGCACATTTGTCTAAGCATTTTAATTTATTTCACCTTTGGCAAGAACACCACATACATAGCTTTATAATAGCTGATAAATACATAGCAGCTTTTCACTAATACTTGAAGTCCCGCCTGATGTTCGAATGTCAGAAATGGAAAAGAGCTCATTACGGCAAGGGTGGGTAATACTTAACTGAAGCACTCAGCATGGGGCCTGGCCACGTATTGGAGCTCGGGGTGCTGGAGGTGGGAGGACAGGAGCTTTCAAACTTGAGCACACACTGGAATTGCTTGGGGAACTTCCAGAAAAGCCACGGGTGCCTGCCTGACCCCAGAGAGTGGGATTTCGCTGGTCCAGCACGTGCTGGGACTTGGGAGGTTTTGAAAGGTCCCAGGTGATTCTGACGTGTAGAGAAGTTGGGAGCCACTGATGCAGGAGGGAAAGGCTGGCTCTGAGTTCCAGGGTCAGTCCTGAGACTTGAATCTTGGCCCTTG